TTTAATGAAGCTACTAATATTTTGCGAAATTAACGAAATTTGAAAAATTGGAAAATGAGCTGTTTTATCCAGGGGCTAGACAAAACAGCTTATTTTCTGGACTTCTCAAATTTTGCTTATTGTCCGCATTTCCTCCATCCTCAATGCTTGCCATTTAATTGGGTTATGAAATGCGCCATTTGCATGTGTTAAAGTGCTAGTTTGCAACAACCCGAAAACAGACCTTTTGACAGGTGAGGCAAACATAACGTTTGCCACGGTTCACTGCCAGTTGCTGAGTGCCTAGGTGATAAGTGAGAATGTGACACTGGACGTTCTGCCTCAGCGTGAATGAGCGGCCACATTCGTCACAAGTATAGCGTTTCTCGCGAAAGCGCTGGTAGCGTTTGGGGCGCTCCTGCGAGGCAGACGGCTTATCTCTTTTTTCAATGTACACTTCCTGAAATGTTTTGATGCACTGCCACCTCATAGTATTCTGCATTCACAGACAATCGGTACGAGTCTGCTGAAAGCACGCTTCACGGCTAACCAAACTCAGTGGTATGATGGTTGAGGAATTGAGTATTAATCCCCTGATCACTGAACTTTCCATTCGAAATGTAAGTATTCAAATTTATTGCAGGGCCATTTGTTAGAATTAGCACAGTTATTTGTTTTTGCGATATTCTGTAGCCCTGGCTCGATCTTCCTGTCATCACACCATTCGTCAAATAAAACATACAAGACCCGCTTGACTCTGGAATCCTTTATGTGAAAGCAGGGTCACTGGTCAGAGTACGGAATTGCTTCAAATTAGGGCGTCAAGCTTACAGTATGCTCTAGACTGAAACTAAAATTTCGAATTTGGCAGCTCTTCATTTTAAACTCTAAAATGAATAATGTACAAGTCTGCCCAGGACAATTGTTATGGGCATACCGTGGCACAGATATAGCTAGCAGCTATGCCAGGCTCTTAGATCCCGAGCTGCACACCTCCAGTCGCTCCCCACTGCTTGTTAAATGTATGCAACAATTATCTGAATTGCGAAAAGTTAAGTAAAGAAGATAGATATAATTTGATTTCGTCTACTGTTGAGCTATTATGTTTCACGGCTCTCAAGCTTGCGTTTCTTTTTTTTTTT